GGGTGCGGGGCGGACCCAGGGTTCAGGCCTTGCTTTCTTCGCGGCCTCCGCAGGGACCCGCACGGGGGAGGGAGCCGGCCGGGTCCGTACCCACCCGGAGGGCCCCGAGGGCGCGGACCCGCGCGTGCGGAAGCTGAGGGACCGGCTGGAGCTGGAGCTGCGGCAGCAGCGCGAGGAGCAGTGCGAGTGCGTCCTGAAGCGCAAAGGAGCAGCACTTGGCCGAGGTGCCAGGGCGGGGGAGGGGAGAGAGCTACAACCCGACCAAACCCACACCCTCTGCACGACCGAGGGCTCCCCGCGAAGCCAGTTTGCTAAACCCATCCTTCCTCTCCCTGCAGCACATCGCCAAGATGATGGAGCTGGCCAGAGAGAAACAGGCCGCAGAGCTTAAGACCCTCAAGGAGACCTCAGAGAGGTATGCCTGCCTCCCTCCCAAGCCTGACTCTCAACTCCCAGGAGGGCTCAGGCCCCACAAAACATCTGGCTCAGCCCCCCACCCCAACATCTCCCTGATGCCTGTCTCTCTACAGCGACACCAAAGAGATGAAGAAGAAGCTGGAGGCCAAGAGGCTGGAGCGGATCCAGGCCATGGTGAAGGTCACCGCTGACAAGATGGCCCAGGAGCGGTGAGCCCGGGAAGAGAGGCCCAGGACTCCAGCTCCAGGCCCAGTGCTGAGCAGGAGCCACTCCAGGGGGGGAAGGGGCCTCCCTACCGAGGATCCTGACTCGCTTCCTAGCCATGTGCCTGTCCCCTGGCTCTTGAAAGTTAATCTTACTTCTGTCACCTCCGATTAGAGTGACCTCCTTAGGCAAAACACAGGTGCCAACACTGTTTGACCAGAGAGGAGAATTTAAGGGAAAATCAGGAGGGAGGTGAAACCTTGGCACACCTTGAAGGACAGTGCATGTTCCTTCAGAGGGTCCCCCAGGACTTCCAATGGACCCTCAAATCCTCCTTGGATCCCCATGTCACCCCTCTGGCTGCTTCCTGTCCCTACTGCATAGTCCTTATTTGGTCTATTCCCTGAGGAGTCTGCATCTCACCCAGCTCTTCCCAGGGGCCTCCTGCCCTCTGTGAAACTCTGATCACCCCAACAGGTTGAAGAAAGAGATTAACAACTCCCACATCCAGGAGGTGGTACAGGTCATCAACCAGGTGTGTAACACTGGTCCTTCACACACACACACACACACACACACACACACGCGCGCGCGCTCTCCCTCGGAGAGAAAATGGGTCTTACTTTGCCCTTAGGAGATATACTGTCCAGAGTGGCCCATGCAGCTAGGGAAGGCAGGAGGCAGTGCAGGGGGAGGGGACCCCCTAGGCCAGCCTGAGGTTCTGGTCTTTCTGTGGAGATTGGGGTACTAGCCTACAGGCTTCTGTCAGCCCCCCTGTATGGAAAAGATATGAGCCAGCTGGCCAGGGAGGATGGAATTGGGGTGGGCGGGTGAGAGGGAGCAAGGAGGAGTCCGAAGAGAAAGGAAACACCTGCTGGGAATGGACCGAAAGCTCGCCTGGGGATTAGCAAAAGTAGCAGAACGACCAGCTACCGAGTCCTGCCCTTATGCCAGACACTAAACCAGGTGCTTCACATGAACCGTGTCATGTAAACCTTCATAATCCAGCGAGACAGGTACTATTATCCTCATTTTACAAATTAAAAAGACAAAGGACTTTACCCTCAGTTTTATGGCTGGTTAACTGGGATCACAGCTGGCTGCCAAGCCAGATGGCCTGTCTGAGCTGCCCTGATTCCTGCCTCTCACTCCCATCAGATGACAGAGAGCCTGGAGAGGCACCAGGAGAAGCTGGAGGAGAAGCAGGCGGCCTGCCTGGAGCAGATCCGGGAGCTGGAAAAGCAGGTGACAGGAACCGCCACCCTGGCCCCCAACAGAGTTGGCCCGGCCCCAGGGTGTAAAGGGGCCCTGCTTCAGGGAGCGTCCAGTCAGGAGTTCAGGAGGCGGGGACTCACCCCTCACCAGTGGGTTCCATTGGGGCCCTAGAGCCCTTTTGCATGAGGCAGCTCTGCAGGTCTCTTTGCTTGTTTGGCACCCCCTCTCGCGAGAGGCTCCCTGATGGGCTCCACTATGCCCACTTCCCACCTCCATCTCCTGGGAGCTTGGCAAAGACTGGGTACCTCCTTGTTCCATTGTCCAAGGGCGGGAGAGTGGACAGGTGGCCCCTCCTGAGCCAGCTGGTGGTGCTTGCTGTCCCCACAGTTGCAGCAGGAGGTGCTGGCAGAGTACGAGGCCAGGATGAAGGGCCTGGAGACTGAGGTGAAGGAGTCGGTGAGGACCTGCCTCAGGACCTACTTCCCTGCTGAGGCTGAGGACAAGCCCGAGAGGTCCTGTGAGGCATCCCGGGAGCTGTGTGAACAGGACTCACTCACAGTCAATGCAGACACCCAGGAGAGCTGCCTCTGATACCCCCAGCCAGCTGGGACATTCTGCAAGGACATGCCCTCTTCTGTTGGACGGAGCTCCATCCCCCCCAGGAAGAAAGGCCCCAGCAGCCCCAGTGCTCGGAGGCTGTGGGAAGCTGGGGTTCCCCTGGACTCTGGAGCCGTCTCCTCAACAGCCAGGCTAGAGGAGGAGGCAGGGATGCCATCAGGGCAGGGGCTCGTTTGAGGCCCAGAGGTCCTCTCTAAGCTCCCTTCCTGCTCCTCCTTCTCCTTGAATTAGTGTCATCTATTTGTTGAGGGCAAAAGAATATGGACTGAGAGGCAGGGAATGGGGTCCTGGCCTCACCCTGCGTTTCCTAGGGTGCAGCTAGTCGCGCCCACTCTGGAGTCAGTTTCCTCACCTGGAGGGTTAGGCCTGGCCTCCTGGAACCTCCACTCAGCACCTGTAATTCAAGCAGGACCTGTTCTGCCGTAAGGCTGGCAGCTCACCCAGGCTTCTCGGCCCCATCGCGGGCGGGCCGGCCCCGCATTGGCCTCATTGTCTGCTCCCTGATTCAGAGCCTGGCACTACCTCCAAGCTCCCTGGGGCTTGCTACCCCTAGGATTCCAGGCTGAGGTCCCTTCCCTGGCTCCCTGGCTCCCTGCCTGAGGGGTGGGGTGGGGAGACGCTGACATGAAAAAGCTGCCTCAGCTGTCTGGCCCTCCGCCCCAGAGGCAACTGGGGCTGTGGCTGGTGGTGAGAGGAAAAGGAAGGCCTTTTGAGCAGTTCCCATCCAGAGCCCGGCTCACCCCTTCTCCTAGGCTTGGGGGGTCTATTTCCTAACATGTACTCCAACCCAGGCCTCCTGACAAGGTCACATTTGTTTTCTCTTCTAACTTTATGAGGTTTATTTATTTTTCTCATTTTTTTTATTCCTACAAAAGAACTCTGTCCCAATATTTCCTGCCTAAGCCTGGCCTCTGTTCCACAGCTGAGAAATGGGGAGGAGGGGAGGAGAAAGCCCTGAAATGAGGCAGGCTGGGAAAACCCTTGGGAGTGGAACCCCGGGGAAAGGTGTCCTCCAGAGCCCAGCAGAATGGCCCTGCCTCTAGGCTTGAAGAGGACTCACTTCCCCTTCTGTCGACCCTGCTGCCACAGCCACTGGAAAATGATGTCACCCCTCTTCTCCACCCTCACCCAGATGTGGCCCTTCCTCGTCTCCACCCTCAGGGCTGGAGCAGAAGAGCCTATGCAAAGGTGCCCCCCACCCTCTTGGAAGTTGCAAACCTTCAGGCCACCTTACAGGGGTCAGCTTCTCAGGCCCCTGGGGTAGTGAGGGTTCACCCAGCACTTGCTGCGGAGGGGCCTGTGGGCAGCCACTACTGCACCTATGGCACCGTCCCAAATCCAAATGGGAGGAGACACTGGTTTGGGAGAGGCAGGGTGGGGTTGATTCTGGGAAGAGGTGGTTTTCTTATCAGAGGGTTATAGCAAATGCCATTAGCTGTGAGCACCTGTGCCTTTGGAAAATGAACAGGACTCCCCCCACCCCCACCCCATCCCTCTGGGATCCCAGCAGTCCCTGGCCGCAGGGTGAGGCTAAGGGCCTGCTCATTGATACAGCCAAGGGCAGTGCCTTGTCTTCAGTCCTCCAGCTGGGCACTCAGCTGCCCAGCTGCCCTCCAGCCCAGGGTAGCACCCAGGCCGAGAGGAACTCACTGACCCAGGCATGGGGCAGAAGCCAGAGCCAGCACCAAAGAGAGCCCGCGGGGCATCATCCCCCTTGTTGTGCCAATGACTGCGCAGGGGGAGGAGGGCTGTTTCCCCTGCCTCTGAGCCAGGCCTGGCAGAGTCTCTGAGCCCCAGGAAGCCCAGGAATGGGGAAGGAAACACAATCCTGCCTCCTAGAGGGGCCTCTGCACACCACGCTGGAGGCTTCCCGGCCCAGTACCACCTCCCTGCCTCTGTTCTCTTAGAAAAGGGCCAGGTGCCCCCGGGGCAATGCCAGTCTCTGGGCCTCGGAGATGAGTTAATTTCTGGCATCAGGGGATGTGCAGAGGAAGAGTTGCCCTCCCTCGGGCACTGGGCAGGTAAAGGGCACCTGGGTTCCATTCCTGATGTGTATCTATGGGGCTGGGGCAAGGTTCCCTGCCCACTTGTCATGCCTCAGTTCACCCTTTGAAGGGTCCCTACCCACTTCCCAATCCCAATGCTGATTCAGTTGCCAGAGTCCCCTGTTGACTCACCAGCCCCCTGCACCCCCACAACCTTCAAGCTCTCTAGATCTTCCAGCCTCGTGCCACCAGGCCCAACCCTGCTGAGCTGGTGCAACGTGACAGGGTGAGGGGGTTGGTGACACTTGAGGAAAGAAGCAGGCCTGGGGGGGAGGGGGGCAGCGGCAGACAGTGACAGACTGCAGACCTGAGCCGCCTCTGCTAGGAAGTCCTTTTGCCAGCCTGGGGCCTGCAGGCGGAGAGGATCAGCGGGTGGGAGGAGAGGGGAGTGTGGAGTGCCTGCCTGCCCCCTGCCTGCCTCGGCTCTATCTCCTGTCAGCCTTCAGCTCCCTAAGCGACAGCTTCTAATTCGGGCTCTTGGTGCCTCTGTGCTCTGCAGCGAAGTCTCAGCCTTTTTTTCAGCTTTGCTATTTCTTTTCTGTTCAGAACATATTGAGCCCACAGGAGGGAAGTCAGAGTAAAGGCTCCAGGGCCAGAGACCTGGCACACACACACACAAACACACACACACCGGCCACACACACACAGGTCAGGCCTGCTTGGCAAGGCCAGCTGGGGGAAAGGGAGCCAAAGAGCAGCCAGCATGGGGCTCTCCGACAGGCCAGGATGAGGCCCTGAAGGGGACCTGCCTCAGCCCCTCCTCTTCCACGGAACTGTCCCCTCCTCCACACTCCACAGGGACATAAATGAGACAGAGTTGTCTCAGGGAGGCTCAGGGGAGAGGGGCCTGACTCTTTAGGACCCAGTCCATGTTCCTGCTGCTTCTCTCCTCCATCTGGGAGGCAACACTGCCTGGGTGTAGGGTGGTCTGCCACACGCAGATTCCAGAGGTGCCCTCTCCCCTGACCCTGAAAACAGAGAAAGAAGGGAAGAAAGCAATTTCCCTCAGGGGGGAGAAAGGGGAAGTTGAGTCACAAAGGGAAGAAAAGCGTTTCTTCTGCTGAGTAAAGAGAGAGAGCATTCCCCATCCTTATGGGGGCTGGAGAGTCTGTACGCGCTGGGCGACAGCCAGGAGGGGCCCCCAGGTCTGAGGGAGGCACTGAGCTTTCTGCTTGCTGAGTAATTGTGCAGCTCTCTTCCTGACACTGTACCAAGATCTTGCTTGAAGCAGGCAGGGTGGTATCATCCACTTCATTTTGAAGGTGGGGATATGCAGGCCTGGAGCGACTCTGCTGGTAAATGCCTTCAGGCTGGGACTTAATTCTGATGTTGAACACTGTGCCCTTTCTGTGACACCATGAGAGGAAGCTGGCAGAGCCCTGAGCAGAGGGATGAAAAAATGCAAAGGAAAAAGAGTGTATGCAAGCACACATCACATGTTCCCTCAGGACAGAGTGATCTGGGAACACCTGCTCCAGGGCTGGCCCCCATGGCAAGTGGGCATCCCTGGGGCCTGGGAGCTAGAGAGAAGCAAGACGTTCAGGGTGCGGGGCCATGTGCCCACTTTGCCACCCAACCACCGTCTTCTTCCTAGAGGCAGATCCTCTGCCTGCCCCATACCTTTCCCCAGGCAACTCCTGCTGCAAAGCCTTTTGTCACTGCTCTGCCCAGGCTAAGGACACTGTTGTTCTTCCCTTAATTTCCTGTCTTTCATAGGGAGAGACCCTTCCAAACAGCCTCCAACACTGTCCCTCCTCCCTCCATGCCCTTGCTTCAGTATCTGGAATGCTTTCTTCCTTGTTTCTTAGCAGCCAGATCCCATCCCACGCTTCCTTGATGACCACCTTAGAAGTGCTATCCTTAGAAGATTTCAGAGCGCTCCCTTCCCAACAACTCCACCTTTTCCTTTGTCTTTAACAGATGTGTTCCGCCCACAAGTGATAATCTCCACTTTTTGTCTTGGTCCTGTCTTCCCCCTTGAGAGGGGAGGTCTTTTCTATCCAGAACTGAACTTCTGTTTCTGTATTTCCCACAGCTGGAAACAGTTGGAAATCTGGCTCACTAAAAAATCTCAGTAAATTCTGTAGTTGGTACCTGATTCACTTCTTCCTTTACAAAAATCCATTCCAACCCTACACACCCTCCCACATCCCTTCAGCTCTGAGCGCCCCGACTCCCCTCACCGGAGGCCTGCCCGCCCTGCTCTCCAAGGCCACCACCAGGGCGGCCCACCGGAGGGAGACTGGATGCGGTGGTTTCCAGGGCAGCCATGGCCATAGAGACCCCCCCTATGGACTTGAGCTCTCTTCTCTCTATTCAAAGGGGTCAGGTAGCGGACAAGGTCAGAGCCTTGTGGTCTAGGGGTGGTGTGATGCTTCAGAGGGAGTTGGGAACTGGGGGAGCCCTGCGTGTGCCCCTTGATCATTGCTCTTTCCCGGAGGGCGCCTGTCCTGAAGCGGCGAGGAGGCGGCGCCCGGGAGTTGCTCCCGTGGCTGCAGCACTCCGGGATCCGAAGGCGCCCGCTCCGCCTGCTTCTCAGCCGCCGAGAGCTGGCAGGCGGGCACGTTGTAGGGGTTGGAGACGTCTGAGATTGGCGGGCACCCTCTCCTCCCACCCCCACTCCGAGTGAGTCTGTGCGGGAGGAACAATTGTGAGTGCGTGGTTTGCGACACTTCGAGTGGCAGTTCCCAGCCAGACTGAGCGCCCCCCATCCCGCGCACAGCGCAGCTACTCCCTCCTCCGAGTTACTCCCAGCCCGCCTTTCGCAGCCACCCTGGCTCGCTTAGGGTCCAGTTCTGCTCTCATGGGGCACCATTTCCTTCCACCCGCACGGCTGGGGGCAACCCGCGGTCTTCCCCGACGGCCCCGAGGTCCCTCCAGTTTCTAAGGAGCCCAGGGCAGCGACTCCGCCGGGCAGAGGGCGGGGAGAAATGACTGACTTTTGGATTGGTGCCTGTGGCCCACAGCGAGCAGCCCCCGCAGCCGCCGCTGTAGCCCCAGGGGGAGCGTGGAGGAGGAGCCGCTCCCCCACCTCGAGGCCCACGGAGGTGTGCGGGTCAGGGGCGGTCTCCCCCGCCCCGTCCTTTTCTGCCTTGATGGTTGAGCCCGCTTCCAGGGCAGCCATTTCCAGAGAGACACCCCCCACCCTCCAGGCTACAAAGCCAGGTATCCAGGTGGGCGGCGGCTCCCCGCGCTTGTTGAGCCCCCCACGAAAGGAGCAAGCGCCCCGGCGTGGCCCGGCCCCCGCGAGAGGGGAGGAGGCGGAGGAGCGGAGCAGAAGAACTAGAGGAGAGGCGCGCCCCGCCGGGGCTAGAGGCAGGCGCGGAAGGCGGGCGCCACCGTCTCAGCAGGGGAGCGGGGGCTGCCCCGGGTGCGGGTGAGTGGCGCGGCTGCTGGCCACGGGGGACTGAGGCTCGCCGGACACGAGGAAAAGAGCGGGAGAGTCAGGAGGGGGCAGAGTTTCGGCTCCAGCCCTCTCGTGGCGGGCCAGGAGCCGAGCGTGGAGGAGCG